AGATGTGTTGGCAGGTTTTGCATTTCTTGTCATGGCATGGTCTGGATCCTTTTGGTGTGTTCTGGGCTTGAGGAAGTTTGCTTCTGGTGATGAGGTTGGCGAGGTTCGGTGCTTGTTTGAAGGCTAGGATGGGTGGCTCTGGGAAGATCTTTTTAAGAATAGGGTCTCTTTCTAGTACGGGTTGCAACTGTTTGAGGATTTTCCGTACAGGTTCAAGGGCGGGGTGATATGTCATAACCAGCGGTGTGCGATTTGTGTGTGGGGGGGGTTCTGTACTGCAGCAGTTCTTCACGTGGTATCCGGGTGGTTCTTTCAAACGTGCGATCTATCTCTCTGGAGGAGTGTCCTTGTTGGGTGAAAGCCTTTTTAAGATTGGTGAGGTGGCAATCCCGGGTGTTCTCTTCAGTGCAAATGCAGTGGTATCTGAGGGCTTGGCTGTCCATCACAGCTTTTTTAGTGTGTTTTGGGTGATTGCTGGTTCTGTGCAGATATGTATGTTGGTCTGTGGGTTTCTTGTATAACATGGTCTGTATTTTATCATTCTGGATACTGATCATCATGTCTAAAAAGAAGATGCTGGTCCTGGAGTATTCTAGAGCAAGTTGGATGCATGGATGGTGATTGTTGAATTTCTGATGTAACTCAATCAGAGATTGCAGGTTTTCAGTCCAAATTATGAAGATGTCATTGATATATCTTAAGTATAGCAAGGGTTTGATGGTGCAGTTCTTGAGGAAGTCTTCTTCCAGGTGGCTCATAAAAAGGTTGGCATACTGTGGGGCCATTTTAGTGCCCATAGCTGTTCCCATCATCTGGAGGAAGTGTTGATTATTAAAAGTGAAATTGTTGTGTGTGAGGATGAAGTGTATAAAGTCAGTAATATCTTTGGGTCTGTAATCTGAGTTGTAATCTTGTTCCTGTAGATATGTAAGGCAGGCATGGATGCCATCCTGGTGTGGGATGTTGGTGTATAGGCTGGTAACGTCCATGGTGGCTAGGAGTGTGTTGCTGGGAAGGTGGTCTATGTTTTTAAGTTTCCACAGAAAGTCTGTAGTGTCTTGTACAAAACTTGCTCTGTGGGTGACGAGCGGTTTTAGGATTGATTCAACGAAACCTGATATTTCCTCAGTTAGGGTCCCATGGTTGGATATGATAGGTCTGCCAGGGTTCCCTTGTTTGTGGATTTTAGGGAGCATGTAAAAAGTCCCCGGGTTAGGTATTGGGGGGATGAAGGTCTGTAGTTTTTCTTGTAATCTTGATGGAAATGATTTGATGGTATTGTTGATTTTGGTGAAAAGGGGAGTAGGATCTTCTTGTACATCTTTGTAGTAGGTGGTAAAGTCTGTATTTCCAACCATGGGACCCTAACTGAGGAAATATCAGGTTTCGTTGAATCAATCCTAAAACCGCTCGTCACCCACAGAGCAAGTTTTGTACAAGACACTACAGACTTTACCACCTACTATGAAACTATGAAGAGGTCATTCTTAACAGGCTGGCCAATGGCAACATCCTGAGGGATAGCCAGCATGGACTTGTTGCGGGTAGGTCTTGACCAATCTAATTTCCTTCTACGACCAGGTGACCTATCACCTGGACAAAGGAGAAGAGATTGATGTTGTATATCTTGACTTTAAAAAAAGCCTTCGATCTGGTATCCCATGATCACCTCTTAGTAAAACTGGCTAACTGTGGCTTTGGCCACACCATGATCCGCTGGCTGGGGAATTGGCTCCGTGGTCAGACCCAGAGGGTGGTGGCTGATGGAAGTCAATTGTCGTGGTGCCCTATGACCAGTGGGGTCCCCAGGGCTCTGTCCTTGGGCCTATACTATTTAACATCTTAAAAAATGATGTGGATGTTGGTATCAGAAGCGGACTGGCCAAGTTTGCTGATGACACTAAACTCTGGGGTAAAGCGTCCACACTTGAAGACAGGAGGGTGATCCAGGCTGACCTTGACAGGCTCAGGAAATGGGCAGACGAGAACCTGATGGTGTTTAACACTGAAAAAGCAAGGTTCTCCACCACGGGAAGAAAAACCTGCAGCATCCTTATAGGCTCGGCAGTGCTACACTGGCTAGCACTACGGATGAAAGGGACTTGGGGGTCATGATTGACCACAAGATGAACATGAGCCTGCAATGTGATGCTGCTGCTAGTAAAGCAAGCAAAACACTTGCTTGTATCCACAGAAGCTTCTCAAGTAAATCCCAGGATGTCATCCTCCTGTTGCACTCGGCCTTGGTGAGGCCGCAGCTGGAGTACTGCGTCCAGTTTTGGGCTCCACAATTCAAAAAGGATGTGGAGAAGCTTGAGAGGGTGCAGAGGAGAGCCACACGCATGATTAGAGGTCAGGAAAACAGACCTTATGAAGAGAGTCTGAGAGCCATGGGATTCTTCAGCCTGGAAAAGCACAGGCTCAGGGGTGATCTGGCGGCCACATACAAGTTCATCAAGGGTGCTTACCAGGATCTGGGGGAACGTCTGTTCACCAGAGCGCCCCAAGGGATGACAAGGTCAAAAGGTCATAAACTCCTCCATGACCATTTCATGCTGGACATAAGGAAGAACTTCTTTACTGTCTGAGCCCCCAAGGTTTAGAACAGATTGCCACCAGAGGTAGTTCAAGTACCTACTCTGAATGCCTTCAAAAGTAATCTGGATATTTATCTTGCTGGGATCCTATGTTCCCTGCTGACTTCCTGCCCCTGGGGCAGGGGGCTGGACTAGATGATCTTCCGAGGTCCCTTTCAGCCCTACTGTCTATGAATCTATGAATCCCTTGACTTGGCATGTTACAGTTAAGAACAGGATTCAAACCTAGTGCAATTAAGGATTGACATGACACCTTGTTCAATGAATGGCAGAAGGGCTTTAATAAATACACCGTAAATGAGTTTTAAAACAAGACTCCTTCCAAATATTCAAATAAATGAGCTATCAATAAAGTCCAATGTATTTTAGCTGCAATAGTGCCTCTGACTGATACAAGTGGGAAGCGGTTTCAATCTCTACAGCCTTCAGGGTTGTGGATCCGTTGCTGAGGGTTATTAGCTGGATGCAGGTTACAATATTGCTGTTATTTCACTCTCTGAGAACACATTTCCAGCAGCTCCTTTTCTTATACTCTTAGTTGTATAAAGTCTGCACAAAGCAGATAAGAAGAGGTCATCATATTTTGGTTAGGTCATAACTGTTAGCCGCTTGGATCCTGTTTTGGGTTATCCAGTTGTGAAACTTGCTTTTGCAAGCTCTTGATCGGACCGGAGGTTACAATTTAATCAACTGGGATGGGGCTTGATTGAATGGGACGCCTTGGGACATCAACCATAAGACACTGTTTTAGGGAGTTGTTTTAATACTATGGCAGAACCCAAAATATTCTGAACTGGTAATAGTCTATGGAAACATCACAAAACCCCAGACACTGAATGCCGATTCTGCGAAATATGACTTAAACAGGGAAGGATGTATCAATAAGGAAGATGCAGTCATATTATATAGGGAGGTTATTTATGAATGGTTTGGCATAGTAAAACATCAGGTATACTTACAACTAGCATGGGAGACTAAATTAGCTAGGACTGCTTCATTTCGAATGGCCCCAGTCACGATCCTACATTTTTGTGCAAGATGAAACTCTTATTGTAATTTAGTCATTTAAATTTTCATATGTACTTTCATGGCCAGCAAGCTAAGCTTTTGACATGGTCTCCCACAACATTCTCATAAACAAACTAAGGAAGTGCAAGTTGGATAAATGGACTGTAAGGTGGGTAGAAAACTGGCTGGATCATCAGGCTCAAAGGGTATTAATCAATGGTTCAATGTCCAGTTGGCAGCCGGTATCAAGTGGAGTGCCCTAGGGTTGGTCCTGGGGCCAGTTTTGTTCAATATCTTCATCAATGATTTGGAAATTGGGATGGAGTACACCCCCAGCAAGTTTAAGGATGACACCAAGCTGGGGGGATTAGTAGATATGCTGGAGGGTACAGCTAGGATTCAGAGAAACCTAGAGAAATTGGAGGATTGGACCAAAAGAAGTCTCATGACCCCCAGGTCCTTTTCTACAAAGCTGCTGCTTAACCAGTTGGTCCCTAGCCTCTACTGGTTCATGGGATTGTTCTGTCTCAAGTGCAGGACTTTGCACTTGTCCTAGGCAAAGGAGACCAGAGGACCATCCATTTCTGGGCTCCTTTGACCTATCTACACCTTTTTCCAGGGTCCTAATTTTACTCCTAGGCCTCTGATCCTCTCTGCCCTGTTCCCAGGCTCTGGCTCTACTCCTGGGCCTGCTGGAACCTTCTCCACCCCGGCCCAGTACTGCTTACTGCAACTCAGCTGTTCCCTAGGAGCTGTTTTCTCTGTGTCTCTCAGAGCTAGACTGCCTGACCAGCTCAGGCCCTGAGTTTATATGCTGATAGCCCAGCTCCTTGCTCCTGACTCCTGATCAACACCTGAGCCATTGTTACAGCCTCATCTCCTCTTAAAGTGACAGGTAAGCACCCTGTCACACCTTTCAAAAGGGAACATTCTCAAAAGGGCAGCAGCTGGTATATCCACCTCTTGTGTGTGAACGATCTGAGAATGATTCAAATGCAGCAAAACTGCTCCTACCTTAACCTTGGATGAAGGAGTGTTAGAGTTTGCAAGAGGCAAGGGTTTGTTAGTGTGATATCTTTTATTGGACCAACTGTGTAGTTGGGATAAAGACAAGCTTTTGAATACAAAACATTCTTCCTCGGGTCTCAACAGAAAGTTTGAACACTTTTGCTACATTTGAATAGTTGTCAGCTCTTTCACATACAAGAATTAAAAATACCAGCTGCTGCTTTTGTGAAATGCTCTACCTTGCCTTCTCCTTTACATTTGTTATAGTGGGTACAGATTAGGGTTGTGCATTGAAATATTTGTAGGGTGGAGTTGCTAACAGGCTGAGTGAATCAAAATCACTGACTTTAAATGGTGGTTACAATAACTTTAAACAAGAGTGAAGATTGTTGTGTCCCTCCCTCCCATGGCTCTCAACATTTTCAGTCTTAAGGCACCTCTCAATAGAATCAAGGCACCCCTCAGAAAATGCCAGCTCTTCATTTTCACTGGTTTTTTGACTATCTAAAAATTCTGCTCCAAGGAACTCAGAAGATTGCAACAGGTTAGTCAGAATGTTTTTAACACTATGGATTTCTATTTTAAATCTCTGGGTCTATCTTGTGAAACATGTTTGTACACCTAACAGTACTAACACTGTGTGGCACCCTTGAAATCCCAGGGTTGAGAGTCACTGCTTTACTCCTTCTCCCATCAGACTCTGCCCTACCAGTTTCCAGCACCCCCTTTCTAGTGGCATACTGACAGCGGGGGGCACCGGCTGGAGAGGCTGCAGCACCTCCCGCGTTTGGTGTGTGGTCCATGCACCTGCTCAGTGGGTTGTAGTTTTCTTCACCTGTTCCAGACGGCAATTCCAGGTGCCACCCCTCCCCCTGCATACGGTGCGCCGCAATGTTAATTACCCTGGGGAAGTGCCATGGGACGGGAGTGGGGGCTCCACACCCTGCTCGGATCATTCCCAGGGGTGCAGGGGGGCTGCAAATGTAGACATTGGACCCTGGGTGCTGGAGACCCACTATCCTTTCTCATTTCAACAAGCCCTTAGTGCATAAAAGTGCCCATTGCTGTCCTTTGCTGCTGCTGATGCATATTATAGGCATCAGCTTAATGGAGGGGCACGCATCTTTACTATTGACTTTACTTACATTACTAAACTATGTCAGCTTAGTACAGCTATCTAGCCCAGCTGTTAGCAGAGCCCTCTGGTGGAGATGCTGACAGAATGTATTGTTTCTGCTGGCAGGGTTATTTCACCTCTGATCTTTAGCCCATGAAAGTCTGTGATTATATATATGTATATACATACATACACCCCCCCCCACATATATGCATATGCATATATATGGTATGTTTATATTATACATACACCCTCTATATAGCTATGTATAGGGGATACATATAACACACACACACACACACACACACATACATGTTGGTTAGTCTATAAGGTGCAAATGTATCCTGCCTTATTCAGTCTCCTCAGACTACATGAGTTGAAGTAGCAGATGCTTTCTTTTCTCAGCATAACTGTGTTGAGAATAGGGGCTTAGCTGGTTTGTCAGTTAGTGGCACAATCCTTTGATGCCCCTAACTCAGCGATTCTCATCCAAGTGCCGTCACATCCTGAGGTGCCTTGAGATCCTTTCAAGGGTGCCACACAATATTAGCACTGTTAGGTGTGCAAACATGATTCACAAGATAAGCACAGAGTTTTCAAATAGGGATCCATAGTGTTAAAAACATTCTGACCTGCTGTGGCCTTCCTGAATTCTTTGCAACAAGAGAATAATTTGATTATTTTTTCATAATCAAAAAATTAGAACTAAGAGCTTGCATTTTCCAAGGGGTGCCTCAAGCCTAAGAAAGGTGAGAACCACTGCCCTAGCTATTTTACCTGTGCTGTCAAAACTTTCTAGATTTGACATATGCATTTGGAACTGCACGCCATGTAATTTGTACATACATTTTCAGGCCCTACCTTCTCTAGTCACCTTGTGCAGTGAAAACTCCATAGTCTGGAACACCCAATCGCTCCCCAACCTCCCAACCTGCCCCCACTCCTCCAACCTCTCTGCCTTCTCTACATGTAGGGTTGGGCATGTACCTTAACTTTTTATTTCCTGGTTTTCAGATTGTGGTTCCCATATAGCAGACATGGAAGAGGCTCATTCTAAAGAAACAAGACCCCCCCCCCCCATGTTCTAACTCATCTTGGGGCAGTGGCTCTGGCACAAGTTTTGTCCCTGGAACTGGTTGAGCTAGGGCCCTGCCTCCTGCTTCTAATTGCTGTGACTCTCCAAGACACAAAAGTGATGGGAGGCTCCAGGCCCTGTCTGTACCAAACCAAAAAAAAAAGGTAAAACAAATCAAGTAGCAAGCAAACAAAAGACACTGTGGTGGAACAATTATTATTGTTTGGTTCTATATTTAGCTCTCCCTGGCCCTGTGGGAGTATGGGGTAACTGAAACTGGGGGCACTATCACTTGTATGCTGTTTGCCCTGGAACTAAGTGTTCTCCAGTGGAGGTAGAACATTAATTACACCTCTACAAAATAACTGATGGGACAGGAGGGAGTCTGGTGATAGAGCTTGTTTACAGACTCCATCAATGCCTGGCAGTTCAGGACATCTGATATGGAATACTGCATATCCTGCTCCAAGTGGATGTTCCAGACAGCCTTATCCAGAGCCTCCTTTGCTAACTCAAGAGCTCCCTACAGCCTTCACTATTGACAGCTGTAATTTTCTATATCAGTTTCCAGGCTACCACCTGTGCCTGCTTCATGCTTGTTCCACTGCCCCTATACAGTGTTTGTGATATATTTAATCCTCTTCCTCCATTTCTCTGTGGCCTCAATGTACCTTTCTCTGGAGTCCTCTAGCTCCCACAGCATCTCCACCTTGCTTCTCAATTGCCTGATGCCATCCACCCCACCCCCAAAGAAAATCTTGTCATGAGGCACTTTAAGAACAGTTCTTAGAAAAATGTACCTCCAAACTAATACTATGCTTAGATTTAGATGTTATTTTAATTGTCTGAACCGAACACTTGGATTCCCTCTTTGATTTCCATGGCAACTTCAACAATTACCACCAACTCTTCCATCAATTTTTCCCTGGAATACTTTTACGTAAACTTAAAATTTCCAGATCAACATCAAGAATAGCACCCTACAAACAGACATACAATATCCTCCACCCTCAAACTACTACAAGTACCTCTACAAAACCAGCAACCATCTCAAACACATCGTGATAATTTAATCTATAGTCAGATTTTCAGATATCACTGCATTGTTCACCAATCTAAAAACTGCCTGTATCCAGTAAGATCAGTCTATCAGGGAAAAGGACTGCATCTTTGAATGAGTCACCTGAAAACTCTATTTAAACCTACTTTGATCCAAAAAAATTAACTCTGCACTGATTGTACACCCCTTGCTGTCACATACCATCCCACAGTGGAATCTGTAAGAAAGATGATTAAACAATTAAAGCTTATATTTGAAGATCATACCTTGAAATATTTTTCTCAACTTGCCCTTCCCTTTCTGAACTTTAAACAATCCTCCAACTTCACCAAACTCAACACTAGAAACAAAAGTTCCCGACCTTGACAAAATAACACATGGAAAACTTGCATCTCCATTTCCCCAACCAACTCCACAACAAAACCATTAGAATCCATGGATCCTACATATGCTAACAAGTGATATGCTAAATCAAGTCCACCAAATGCCCTCAAGTAAACTACATGGGTGAAACCAAACTACCAGTATGCCCCAGAATTAACTTACACAAAAATGATGAAGAACAGAAACATTATCTCCAGTAGGAGCACATCTCTCTCAAAACTATCAACTCATCTCTCACCTCACAGTCCTCACCCTCAAAAGAAAACCACACAGTATTTTCAGAAGACATGCCTAGAAACAAAAATGAATGACATACAAAAAGCCATAAACTAACCAAGACATTAATTTTATAACTATATGTAACTCACACCTCCCTCTGCTAACTTATCTTTGCTTCACAGATCATATCAACCCACTTGCCTTTCAAGTAGTCTGATTCATGAACATAATTAGATGAAATGCAAATGATTCTTCTCATTTGTACTGAGCTTCTTTCTCAGACTCACTGAAAATCCCTTGAAGTTTGAAAGCTTGTCTCCTTTTGTAAGCCAAGGAAGCCATCCTAAGTTTTTGTTGAGAAGAGCAGCATATCAAGCCAGTATTCATGCTGCTTTGTTCTAGGTTTGATGTAGGAGCACTTCATTTGCCATCTAGTCTGTCTGGCCTTGCAAAGTAAAGGTGATACTATATTAGGGATTGTGAGCCTTTCCTCTTTGACACAGTCTACCTGGTGCATCATGCTCAATGAGTATGCTGAGAGTAGAAAAGAGGCAGCCAGCTGCTGTTAGAGCAAGCACATATTAATTAGAAGCTAAACACCAACTCACAATTAAATTCATAATAGCCAGCATGCTTAGCTGGAGATGCCTAAAATAGTCAATACAAAACATTGAGGACAAGGTGTTTTGTAATCCCCAACCCTTTTGAGGCTGTAAGCACTTAATTGTGAGTTGCAGGAAGATGCCCACCTCCACTTGAAATTCACAGCCCTGTACTACCTGGTGGAGTTAAGCCAGAGGTGGACAGAAATTTGGGCTGGAGGGTCACTTAAGAAGTTTCTGTGAGCTGTTGCAAGGGGTGTTGGGGGAGGGGGAGGGAGTACTGATCTGATCCAGTTGAGCAGTGAGGGAGGAGGACCAAATGATCCCATCTGGCCTCTGCCCATCTGCTCCAGACAGAGTGGGCAGGTACGGTCCCCATGGAGACTGGCCTGGGAATCACCATGTGGCAGGGTGTGCTTAACCAGATGGATGGGACGGGGCCAAGGGCAGATGGGGAACAGCGTGTGGGAGCTGGATGGGTGGGCAGAGCCAAGATCCAGGGGTGTTGACAGCATAGGGTCAGGGCCTAGGACAGAGCTGTGATCTGTTGCCCTCAGGTTCCTGCAACGGGTACAGGTTCTGCAGGCAGAGATGTGCAGGGAGAAGATTGTGGCTCTGCCCCGGGCCCTAGCACCACACTGTCACTGCCCTGCAATCCTGATCCTGGCCCCAGCCCCAGCCCCCACTCACATGTCCTGCTTTCAGCTGTGGCCCCATCCCATTCACCTGGCCGAGCATGCCCTGCCTGCAGAGGTCCCAGGCTGGTCTCTATGGAGACCCCACCCACCTGCTAGCTTCATCTGGCACCCCCAGTGCCAGACAGATTTGAGGTGTCTGGGCAGTAGGGCCATGTCTGATGACGGTAGCAGTGGGGCATACACCTTCTCTCTGGTGGCAGCAGTAGGGGCTTCCAGGAAGCAGAGTCTGGCTACTGCACCACCCCATCCTATGGCCCCACAGATTACAGCTCCCGGTGCGCCCATGACGTGTGTGGGAATGGAGCGGGTTGCACCAGGTGGCACCTCTGTGCCCATGGACACCGGGACTGGCCACATGTGCCATGGCCTGGACTGCCCTCTGCAGCTGGGCTGGGTGGGGTGAAGGGACCTGCCGTGGGCCGGACAGAATCCCTTGGTGAGCTGGATCCAGCCTGTGGGCCATATTTTACTCACCCCTAAGTTAAGACATCTCTAATAAAAACACAGGATGGAGTCACTCCTTTCTTTTAAAAGATAGTGCAAACAGGAGGCGATCCCCTTTTAAACAATAGGGAGTATTACTGAAACAAGATCATTGTCCATTACTTCTTGGATGAACAGAGTGCTTGATTGGTGTATTTCCCCCTTGATGCTCTGACATCTCAGTTTCAGGCTAGAGGTGTTGAGAACCCCTGGCAAATGCACTCCAGTGAAGTAAATAGATTCCATCTTGTTTCACTGCAACCTCTGTCCAGAAGCTAATAGGATCAGCAAGACATTTAAAGCAGAAACAGTTAATCCAGTTACATTTATTGCTGAATTTATGCTGTTTTTTGGTGTGAAAAATCATGAAAACTTGCATCTTTACAACACTGTCATTCTTAATAAATTATAATGTTGTATCAAACTATTTGTGTACCTCTCTTAGAGGTTAATTTTAGATTAATATTTCTATTTGATTTAACTAACACAAATGCAATCTCAGACAATAGAGACAATCTAACATTGGTGTAGGAACAGAATCCGAGTTTGAAAAGTGAGCTAAAGTAACTGGCCACAAATACTTGTCGTCTCAAATCTCTCTATGCTCTTAATCTTTCAGTTGTTTTAAATCCTGTAAGCCCTGAATTCTTAATGCTTTAAGGGGGATCATACCTAGTTGAAACAGCAGTGAGAGAGTATGCCTGCAGTCTTATGAATGAGCACAACAGATATCCCCACAAAATAGTTTTGGAAATAAATTATAAAACACGCAGATTAAGTTGGCAATGAAGTCTTTGTTGAGCTAGGACCATTTGCCCTTCCCCTTCTGCTGTGCAGCTATAGAGTGTAATCTCTCAAATGAACTTGAAGGCAAGGCAGTGTAGGGTAGCACCTTAGAGGCTAAGTAGTGAATTTCATCAACTAATCCAGTACAATCCAAGCTAAAAATAGAACTCAGGAGAGAGAGCCTAAAAGCACCCTAAGGATCAGGGCCTACATGCACTGCTGCAATCAGTTTCAGCCATCCAATGAAATGAGTTCCTTGTTTAATGATGAATATTATATAGCTGCAAATTGCTAGCATGCTACATCTACTTCATTTTGGGGGTGTCTTTTAGTGTGTTAGTGGTACACCTCTTGATTGAAAGTTCTGAGCTGGCGGTGCACCAAAACCTTCACAAGTCTATGAGAAGGCAGCCCATTCATGGTATAAAAATTACTGAAAAAATAAAGGTCAGGTACAAATACTAGTAGGAGCACATTTCTCACAAACCAACCACTCCCTTTCTAACCTCAGATCCTGGTACTGAAGGGGAATCTACCAAACACCTTTAAAAGGCAAATTTGGGAGCAAAAATTTGTGAACTGGCTGGCCACTAAGGACTGAACACTGGTTTTGACTTTATGGTGTGCTATACCCTGAAACTCTTCCTTCATATTATAGGTAATAACAACCCTCCTCTCTTTTGGTAGGTCTTGATCTCTCATCAATCAAGTTTCTTTTCTTCTGCTAATTGTCCCTTATGCCTGAGAATTTCTCCCCTCTAATCTCATCTGTTTACCCACTGGTTTTAATTAGTGCTGGGACCACTTCTTTCCTCAGGCCTGATGAAGAATGCCTTGCATTCAAAAGCATGCAGCTGGTGCAAAGCCAGGTCCCACCCACACAAATCCGTGCAGCTACCTTGTGCCTGCAACAGGTAAAAGATTGGCAACATCATTGCAAGACAGCAGTTAGGTCTAGGATTTGTTGTTGGTACTTTACGTGAAAAATCAGTTAGAGACAGAGCAGTGGCACAGCTCCTGCACAAGAGTAGTTTTAATGATTTGGAGCCTGCTTTTCCTCACGGTGTGCAGGTCTCTTTCAGCGCTCCTTGGCTATAACCCCAGCTCCGTGAGGAGGGAATGGGGCAGCCTGTTGTCCACAAATCAGAGCCCAGGAGACTCTTTCCATGCGGCTCCCTGCCTGGCCCGCTGCACGGCGCTGCCCGGGGGAGGCTGACAAGGAAGCGGCCCCTCCTCAGGAGCCCTCACCCCAGCCGCTGCGCCTCAGGTTGCCCCCGGATGAGAGGAGGCAGGACACAGAGCTAAAGTCGGCCCACTCAAGTCCCAGGAGAGCTTCCCACCCTGTCCCGTAGGAGCGCCGCGCTCGCTGCAGCCGCCCGCCCCCATCCTGTCAGGACCCGGCCCATGTGCGGTCAAGTCCAAATATAGCCCTCCCCGCATTGCGTAACTGCTGGGGCCACTGAGCGACACCTCTTGTGGCCAATCAGAAGAGCAAGTGCAACCCCGGACCCGCCCCCGCGGCTCGCACCCTTACGTAACCCCGGCGAACCCCAGGCGGCCCCCGGTCTTGTGACTGTGCGCGGCTGGGCCGGGACCAGGCCGGTCACGCGGCGGTGGTGGGAGTGGGAGGGGTGTGTTGGGGGCGCTGACGTTAGGCGGTGACGTCCAGGCATCTGCGCGCACCGATAGGCGGAGTGCGCGGCGCTGCCGCGTGATGATTGGCTCTGCGGAGAGAAGGGGCGGGCCGGGTGCTGGCAGCAGTTAAGCTATGCAGCTAGCGCGGCGCCGGGGTGGGAGAGCGGGCGGAAGATGGCGCGGAGCGGTTGTGCGCTAGGCAAGGCGCTGGCTGAGGGGCTGGCGGCGCCGCCGCTCAGAGGCGCCCTCAGGTACGAGGCCGCCGTGGGATTTAAAGGGCCAGTGACAGCCTGTCCCTCGCCCTCCGCGCGGGGCCGCAGCCGCGGTCGGAGGGGCGGGGCTCGGCGCTGCCGCTTCCTTTAAAGGCCAAGCGCGGAAAGACGCGCCGCTGGGGGTATCCGGTCCCTGCCTGAGGGGTTTGTCCAGGCTTCGCGGGCCTGGAGGGCTGAGCCGGCGCCTGCGCTGATTTGGTGCCCGGCAAGAAGGGGCTGGTGGCGGCCGAGCCGGCGCAGGCGTGGGGCCCCGGGCAGTGCTTCTCCTGCTCTGTCTGCGGTGCTTCCTCTGCCCGCAGGGATGTCGTCGGCCTCGGGCAGGTCGTGCGCAGCAGGGTGGGGTTTTTATACTATTTAGTGTCTGGTCTTCATTCTGGATTGAGGGCAGGCCCCGGCCGGTTAAATGCTACCGAATAAGGGGCACGTAGGTTTGCAGCACAGCGGGGCCGAGTTCTGTGGCAGGCAGACTACAGGTTACCCGCCCCGAGTGCCACTGCTGATCTCCTGCTCTGCTGTCTGCTCCCTGCTCTGCCCTGTCTGCTGCTGCGCTGCACTGACAGTGGGACTGGTGCTGCTGGTTGGCCACCCCTTAGTGTCCAGACATTTTCCAGCCTGCTTACACATTGTTTAAAAGTGAGTGTGTGTTTAGGAGTCAGGAAGGCTTATTTCAGGGAGAGAGAGAGGATCTGTTAGGGGAGTACAGCTCCTCCTTGCTGTTATGTACATGCTTTTCACTTTAGTACGTGATCGTATATTCATATTAAACAAAATTTGCAAAGCTATACTTGTAGTTTGCATAATGGAGGTATGAAATCCTTATGTCTGTTTAATGTGCGGGTGATTGCTTATACGGAGAAAAATTAAGACTGCTCCTTCACAGAGCACTGTGACATGCACGCTGCTTCTTCATCTACTACAGAGAAGAGCAAATGTGGAAAATAGAGGGGAAAGTTGCACAAGGGGAGGGAGGGAATGATAGCTGTGCTGCATATTTCCACCATGCAGTTGCTTTCAGGCTCTCCAAAATCTAGATTTTTGCTCTGTCTGCATGACTGGGGTAAAAAGCCAGGAAATGAGTAAGGATTTGAAGGTACCAGTTATCTGGTACCTATGATCTATGAGTTCTTGATAATGTTCAAGGGACTTTCAATTTATCAGTTATTAAGTCGTTAACCTACAGTAAAATGATATACGGCCTCCTAAAAGTTGGCTTTCAGTGTGGGGAAAAAATGGTCAGTTTGCTACTACAATGGCTTGCAATTCTTGTTTACAAAAATATTCCTCTGGAGATCATCTTGCAGCAACTGGCTTGGTGTGCATGTTATGTTTAGTGGTCTGCAAAGGGTAGGTAATGAGTTCATTAAAATGTACCATCAAGGTAGATTGAGATCTTAAACCATTTCTGTCAGGCTTGCTTAGAACAGAACAGCAATGGTTAGATTTGGTGCAAATCAGTAAACCAATCTATGAAATATCTGTATATTCTTAGTTTAACCTTTTTAAGCGAGTTTAAAGCTGGTTAAAGGTGCTGGATTGATTGCCCTGAAAAGCAAAGATGGCTTCTCTTGACTGGTACAGTCATCGGTGCCTTCTATTTAACACAGCAGGGTACTGTGATAGGGTTAGTAATCCGCTTCTCGGGGTGAAGTAGTAATTTAGTTTTTTGTGGACATTTAGTCTGAAAGATTATAATTGGGATGTTGGCAGTGTTTGTTTTTCAGGACATGGACAGCTGTCCACTGGGAATTGGAATTAGATCAGCTTGTCACATGGCTTTTGATGGCTTAACTTTATGAAAGTGACATTTGGCATACTGTAGATAAACTACATTGACACAGCCTCAGCACTAGTGTCAGTCTTATCTACTATCTGTTGGAGATCTCTTTTAACATTACATTATTTTTTCAGCTGTGACCAGTGGGGCTTACTTTTTAATTAAAAAAAAAAAAAAAAAAAAATTGAACGTACATCTCATTCATCTCTATAATACAGTGGTAATTTATTTCCATTTTGAGGAATGAGAACCTTATGGCTGGGCTAGTGTTCATGTGATAAAGCAGCAAATAATTGGAATTAGACAAAAATAAATATATAAAAATATGAAAGTTGTTTGCACTATATCCAGAGTGGGGTGAACACAGGAGTAGAAGCCAAGTACTTTTTGAGTTCTAAAATGGGATTTGCTTACTCTCTGTGGTCTTTTAGAATTGGATTATGGAAGTGTCTGGCAAATCATTTGAAACAACAATTTTCTCTACAGTTATGTTAAACATTCCTTTTTGAAAATGGTCTCTATATAGCCTAATAGCAAAGCAAATTTAAATGAAAAAAATGGGGCTTTCGTTCCAAAATAAGGGTCTGCTCAGTTTTTTGAATGCCTGTTTAAACGGACAGATAAGCCTTTTGTGTCATATGGCCAATGTGAGATCAGTCCAGTTTGGTACCTCTTTGGCCATGTTGTTCAGCCCTCTTTTTAGTAACAAAATATTATCCACAACTCTTGAGATACTATTCCAAAAACGAGTAAATCTTGGTCAGTGGTTTCCCTAGATCAGTGGTGCCCAACCTTTCAACCCTGAAGGCTAGATGAGGGGAGCAAGGCTGGTCCATGCGTCCAGTGCAGTGTGTGGGGCAGGCCTGGCTGAGATCCAGTCCAGTGTGCAAGGCCAGTCTGGCTAGGGCCTCAGCTCTGCATGCTGGTTGAACTCTAGCCTCTGCTGTGCATTCCCAGATCAGTCCCAGTCAGTGCCAGATTGCACCCATGGACCCAGCCCCATTCACAGCACTGTTACTTGGCCCTCGGGGCTTGGAAATTTGACAGCAGAAGAGTGGTGGCAGTGTTAATTGCCACTGCTTCCCCACTGTCAAATTTCTGGTCCTGTGGCGATGTATGTTTCTAAGCTAGATTTAGCCTGTGGGCTGGTGGCTGAGCACAACTGTCCTACATAGTCTTTCCCCTTTCCTATTATAATACTCTGTTGCACCTTTGGTGCAGTTCCAATTCTTTTTTTCTCTTCAGTGTTTATAATTTAAATATTTGTAGTCTGCTGTTCTGCTTCATACCTAGCATTAGTTACTTCCTAGCAAGATGTGTCCAGACATGAAAAAGTTAAGTTACAGGCCAGGAGTTAATAGCTTGTTCTCTAAATAGTTGACTGTTTGTGTGGTAACTACAGCTTGCTAGATACCTTCAGTAGGCAAGGAGAAGCTGTATCCACCAGTATGCTATGTAAATAAATGGGGAAGGTCAGTTCCATTTTTAACTTACCATCTTTATGACTGCCTGATTCTAGAGTTATGCCTCTAATTGGTTTATAAGAAAACACAATAAACAGCTTATTCTTTAACTAATAGGAAGAGGAGACTACTGATAGGTTGTGGATCTCTTAACTCCTTGATGATGAAAATCAGGACTTTCAAGGTGAATATTTGTCAAAGAATGTATGTGTGCTGCTTAAAAATTGGAGAGTTTGATCTAGGCAGAATCTAAAAATTAACTAAGTAGAGACTCCATAAATATCAAGAGATTTGTACTGAACATCTAAGTACGATGTGTTTTGTATTTTTCTGTAATCTTGAATTGACAAATGTGACCTTAAAATTGCTAGTTTTCCCTAAAAAGTGTGATGAGGTTTTATTTCCAAAAATACATGAGTTCAAAGTTTTACATGATGATTTTCCATGAGAACTGAGTTGCAGTTAGAAACTGGCTTTTAAGAGAAATTGAGGGCAGAGGTGAAGGAGAATGTATTTATAATGGAATTCAGCTATGTACTCTCGTCCAAGCTTTTTTTTTTTTTCCTTCTTGCTCCTGTAGTTAGAAAAGGGACAAAATGGAACAGATGACTTATGAAAACAACTTGAATATTAGTAGGAAGTGCTGTTCTGTGAGTCGAAATACATTTATTACGTGGCCTCAGATGGATGTAAAGCCAAGTTTATAAAGGGGAGGCCTTTGTGTCTTGCTGTGCGTCAGTTATTTTTTCTCGTGACTGTAAGCTATTTTTAGTATCTCCTATGGCAAAAAAAAAAATAACCTTGCACCCTAGACAGCTTACTGACTTGTGAAGTTTCTCTCATTTGAATCCAAATTTTTCAGGAATGCAGCGTAACAGATTGCCTACATGCCACTAAAATGTATTTATAAGTTGTTTTGCTAATTCAAAACACAAAATAATACAACACTCTCACCATTGCAGGCATGTGGCTTCCTGTGGTATTCTGATGAGCAGAATTCCTCCATTGCGAGCATCTGTAACGAACCATAATGTTCCAAGAAGAACTTTCTTCAATATTGCTGCGCCACTAGTAAACAAAAGAAAAGAATATTCTGAGAGAAGAATTATAGGGTTTGTATTGGAGAACCATAGAAACACTTTTGCAGGTGGCTTTCAGTGTTCATGTTTAGTTCCCATGGGTTGCCTTAGTTAATTAAAATGTTAGAATTAAAAGATTATGGCCTAAATTTTCAATGGTGACTAGTTACTTGCATACTCGAGAGACGTCAGGGATATCCATAGCTCCATAACTGCTTAGAACCAAGAGGCTATGACAAGGAATGGATCATTCTCTACATGTCCTGTTTCTTATAGTCTTCCTCTAAAACAATTGATCTTTGCTGTTGTCAGAGAGAGAATACTCAGTAAGGCAGTTCTTTTGTTCTTTAGACTTAAAGGACCCTGCTTGTCCAAAGTAGTTGAGCATAAGCTCTTTGAAAATCAGGCCCCTCTGTTCCAAAACTGAACACCAAAGAAGAAGGCATCCAAAATGACTAGGAACTTCTATTTAAATTAAATATATAAATAAAGGTCTATATGACTCATTTCAGGAATAACATTTTCATGAATAAAATTCTGCCCCTTCTATGGGAAAAGAATGCATTATTCATTTGATGTACTGATGCAAATTGCATCCACCGAAATAATATAAAGAACTAAACTGAACTATTTTGCATTTATGGTACACCTCTCATTTGAGGTTTTTAAGTTGCTCCAGATATATGGAGAGAGCGTAATCTTTTGTATATGGAAGAAACAGAAATCTTGAGAACAAGAACCCTAGGTAAATCCTGCCCATTAAAGTCTGTGGCCAAACTCCTGGTGAATTTGTTATACTCAGGATTTTGTCCCAGGTTTCTACCCTCTATCCCCCATCACATACTCTATCCACTAGATACAATGCTTCCTCTTCAGTCTTTTGCTTTAGTATGAACCTGTTCGACTATCCTTGTACTGCAGTGAAATATGCATGTCTGAAAGGAAGATTGGACAATAACTCTCATCCTTACCATTCTTGATTTCCCACCCTTTTTCCCCCTCCTTCCCACTAATTTTCTTTTAGAGTAGAACTTTTCTTTTTAGGCTGGAAGAGAGATATTGTTTCCTTTTCCTTTTGACCCATCTTCTCTTCTTGGTAGCAGTTGGCTGCACAGTGCATTTGTTTAACTTGTGGGACAGTAATTTCAACCTTTTCAGACTCAAGTCACCCCTCAAAGTGTAATCTAGCAGCACCTGATTTGAAAAAAAAATTATGAACATTTATAAGCATTTAACTATATTATTTATTAATATACAGTTAATTGATTAGATCCATATAATTATATTGTATTCACTAACCACACTGCCACTATCACTGTGGCGTGTTGGAACTGTACTGAGTGCTTCCTGCAGAGTCAGACCAGGAAGTCACTGCTGCAGTATTGTCTTGGTGCAGCCCTTCCTGGTCTGATCCTGCAGGGTCTGTCCTGGAAACAGGTGGAACTGTCCTGTACATCTCGGCTTTCAGGAGGCTTGCCAGAGCTGAACTAAGAAGCGGCTACAGCAGAAAGGTGTGCCTGCGTGCGTTGCATCACATCCCAGTAGAACTCGTAGTTTTCCAGGTCTTGAATGGTCTGAAAGAGTTCTTTTAAACTTCTATGGAAAGTTAATTCCACAGTATTTTGAGGACTCTTTTTGAAGCTCATTTCACAATAACAAGAAAACCAAAAAAGTACAAAACAGCAATAAAAAATGGAGGGGACAAATATTTGCTCTAGCTTAAAGGCTTGGCAAAACCAACAAAAACTGAGGCCCCACATTCTAATGTCATAAAAGCCTTAATCTGTCTGTCTGTTAATAATACTTTATTCGCACTCTGATTGGCTGACAAACAGCCAATCAGAGTGTAAAGAAGCATTCGGACAGGTGGCAGCATACCACGATGGCTGGCCTCATTCCCCCTGCCTGGCTTCCAGGAGGTAGTGGCAACAGAGCAGACAGAACAGGGTGTGGAGGGGCAACAGCAGCAGCTTTGCCCCCCCCCTGCCTCCCTGCAGGTGGCAACAATGGAACAGGGGGGAGGAGGAGTGAAAGGTCACTGGAGCTGGTCTCACCACCCCACTTACTCCCTGGAGGTGACACTGGTGGCATGGCAGGGGGGGAGGGGTGGAGAAAGTGGGCTTGGGATGCTGCCTGTAGGGCCAATGCAGCAGTGATGGGGGGGGGGAGGGGAAATAATGGGCCTGGCTCAACATGGCAGCAATGTGGGGAGGGAAAGAATGGGCCTCCGCCACATCCTGGCCAGGGCCCACTCTCCCACCCCCCATGTCCGCCTCAAGCCTGCTTCTCCCATCCCTCCACCACCGCCAGGTCAGCCCAGGCCCGCTGCAGCAGGGAGTGGGGAGCAGGCCTGGATGGGAGGAGGCACAGGGCTCCATCCCTGCTTGCTCCCCCCTCCCCCATCATTCTTGACAGGCAATTGGCTAGTTTTCCTCATAAAAGCCAGTTACGGACCTGCCAGGACTAAAATTTCCTTTGTTCCTTTTCCTATTTTTAAGGCTTCAAATGGAATTAGACTTACCAGAAACTCAGGTGAAGGTTTTCAATAAGAACATCATCAGTCAGAAAATATGTCTCTTCCTCCTTTTGCAAAATCCATTTCATGTTCAAGCACAACAAAACTGAGAGGTTTCATACTCTGAAACACTCAGAAACTTAATGCTGGCTGCTTTTGAACATCTGTAAGTGCAGTGTTCAGAATTGTGACATTCAGCCTTTGTTTCTCTCTCTTCTCTTTTTCAAAGGCAAGTAACTTAGTATCCAGTCCTACAAACACTTATGGATATAAGTAATTTCATGCACATGACCAATCTTATATTACTTAACATTTGTGTCTGCAGGATTTAGTCCCTTGAATTTAAAAGCAAAGGTCCTATAGAAACAGTTTAAACAGATAATGGTAAGCACAGATTTCCTCTCATACCAGTACTTTTCTGAATGCATGTCATCACAAACAGCACCTTAGCTGTTCAGGTATCTTGCCTCTTTGTGATGATACTAATTTAAGCCAAATTTCTTACACCTTTTTTCCTAATTTAGCTAATTGTTTAAAATGTCTAAAAATATCCATTTGTATTGGAGTCAAAATTGTTTCCTTACATGAGCATATTACACTGTGCAATAGGCATCTATTGTGCTCTATTTATATTTCAGTTAAAAGTTGCTAAAAGAATTAGTTTGCATAGTCACCTACTCAGAAATTAGGAAACCATAATATTAGTTGCCAGTGCAAATTGTTCAAGCCTAGAAAGCTGTTGTATTGAACTTCTAGTCTATATGTTTTCTAGCTTGTAATGGCCATGTTTCTTTTACCAGGTATTCCATGCAGGAAATGTATGAAGTTGTTGCTGGTGTGGAGGACTACAAACAGTTTGTTCCTTGGTGTAAAAAGTCAAACATATTATCCAAACGTTCTGGATACTGTAAAGCCCATCTAGAAATAGGCTTTCCTCCAGTGGTAGAAAGATATACATCAGTTATCACCCTAGTGAAACCTCACCTGGTTAAGGTAATTTTTTTTTTTTTTTTTTGTGGGCTTTGTGTTCCTAATATATTTTGTTTCTGAAATAAAATCAAGTAGAGAACAGAAAATGGTGAATTAAAACAAAAAAGTTAATTCTAAAGTTGCTTTGCGTGGCTCTATACTGTTGCGAATCTCTTTAAAATGGGAGCTAAAAATCAGAAAAAAAGCTCTTGTTTTGTGTGAGAAATAGCTTGTCATTACTGAGATACAGACATACCAATTCCTGTTTTCTTCATTGTAAGGTATGCTAATTTGTATATATTATGTCTCTTTAAATAATCATAATATTGACTTACACGCTGCTCAGAGAAACAGGAGTATGATGCTTCAGACACTTCAGCAAGAACTGTGGCATCTAACGCTCTTCTTACAGCATGCATGACTTAAATTATCTGGCCTGTCCGGGAAGGCTCAAACCAAAACGGAGGATTTTCCCTTTAATGGTGAAGGCTTGTTCAATAGCAAGACTGATGGGAAGATGAGACTAGGTCTGTTGTTGTATCTCTAGCATTAATTTAGTCAGAAGAAAAAGAACTGTACTTCATATTCTTTTAGGTTTCATAGGCAATGTTACTTCTTAATATTTACCCTTTTGAACAGAAATTTATATTACTGAAATAGTTACAAGGCAGAATAAGGGAGATCAGTTTAGGCAGAGATGTGTCACTTGAGTGGCCTACTTGTTCTGTTTACCAGTCCAGGCATTGATTTGGCTGCTTGGGAACTTAAGGTGTGTTTCTGTGATACTCACCTTGCCTAATCTTTCACTTAAGAGATCATCTTGACCATATCTGTAGCAATTCCACTTCATGCTACAGAAAACTGATGATAATATTTTGGACATGCAGTTCAATTCTACCCTTCCTCTTCCCTATTCTTTGTTGGTATTTTTCTTGTGAAACACTGGTCAGAGCAAAAATGGCTTTCTTATTACGCCTGGCAGAGGTATATTGCAAGGCAGCACTGATGGGTCCTTCCTCAAAATACACCTTCATGTTTGGAGTAAAAATAATCTATTGTGGACCTGAGGAAGTCAAACACTTTCAGCAGAATGGTCAGATTCCACATACTGACTGACCTCCATCCTGACTGGTTCTTGACCTAGAATATACCTGCATTGACACAGCTATCAGACTGACTTGCCAGCTACCTCTGTGCTTTATAGCTCACCTTTTAAAAGGGCAAATCTAGCCTTGAAAAAGACTATAATACTTCTAAGATAGTGATGAGGGGTGAAGTCTTTTTGTTGGACTTAAGGACACTCCCATATTTGTTAGGCTTGTTTAAGATAGGACTTTTCCTTAAATTTCCATTGTTCCATTCCACAGGGTCAGTGACAGTAGCAGAGAGAACTGCTTGCTTGCTAAGTATTGTATTGTTATGGTGATTTAAAAGATCAGCAGTTAACCTAATAGGTAGCTACTCACGATGAGGTGGAAGTAGTAGTAGCAAAAGAAGGAAATATGAAGGAAAAACATCCCAGTTTGATGCATCTTATGTATCTAGAAAAACTTCAGTGGTAAGATGCTGAGCTTCAGCTTAGAGAAGGAACTGTATCATTCCTCTAGGAATTTCAAGCCAACTGCAAAGCAGTTTCTTTGAGTCTATCTTAAAGAAATTATCATTCAGTCCTACACTAGAAATGCAGCTTGGCCAAAGCACAGTTTGGCATCAAATGAAAATAGGGCCCACAGCAAATTAACCCTAACATAAAGGTTATGAAACTAATTAATTCCTTTATACTCTTTGGGGATTTGGATAAGGACTCTGTAGTCAGACCCTACCTCAGCCATCTGGTTAATACTGCTTGTGGGTAACTGAAGTCAAATATGTAAATTTGTGGCCAGATTCTGCTATCCTTCTGTTGATGAATACCTTCATGATGTAGTCTTAGAGATTTGCAATAAAAGCAGTAATATGTAGGCGTAAAGGCATATCACGTGAGCACTCAAGTTTACAAAAGCTGGTGACAGTTAAGATGTAATTCAACTTGGTCACTAGTATTACCTTTTTGATGATGCACAGTATCCAAACACTATTTATAATGAGTGTCAGTGTATCTAACTTAACATAAAGGTTATATATTCATATGCTTTGTTTAAAAATAATTCTACTTGCTATACCTGCAAAGATATGAGACACTTCCATCTGGGTTGAAAACTGTTGTGTGGCTTGTAGATGGAAGTATATACCACCCACCTCTCTCTAGACACAAGACAGACCTTGCAAAGAGGACTTGGTTATGTTATATAAAATTGCGTTAGGATTTCACCTTGACCTTAGTGCAGGAGTACATTTGAGCTACACCACAGCCTTTTATTTTTAGTTAAATGTGAAAACATTCATATGTAGAGTCGGAAGGGACCACAATGGATCACAGTGGCTGACCCGACCCCCTGCCCCTATCATTTTCTTAATACCAGTTTCAGAAGGACAGACTTACCTTTTATATCAAATATATGAGAGTTGAGCTGTAGCTTAACTTAAACTGTCTTCTAGGCATCCTGCACAGATGGGAAATTATTTAATCACTTGGAAACAGTATGGCGTTTCAGCCCTGGAATCCCTGGTTATCCAAGAACATGTACATTGGATTTTTCAGTAAGTACTGTAATTAAGCCCACTGTGTGGTATAAACAGGAAATGGAAAGCGACTTCTAACCAGGGGATGCTTGTTCCTCATAGCTACTGTTACTGAATACACATTTGCAATTTTATATTTCAACCCAACAAACTTTAAATATTAATATTTGGGGTAAGTCTTATAGCCTTTACACATCAAAGTTTTCCTACAGAATTATCTCAAGACACCTTCCTTCTACATTGCAACCACTAGCATAGGCAACTGGTGCTGCCCTATTGGGGGGGGGCACATACCCCCCCCCTCCAGCCAATCTTGCCGTCCAGGAAGGGGGTCCCCTGTGGCTGATCTCTCTGCAGCCGCTTCTGGGAGCAGCTGCAGCGATCAGCTTGTACTTGCAGGGGGAGCACTGGCACTCCTACCTGCCCCCCCCTGCCCATTGCCTAAGCAGCAAGTGTAGCCAGTCAGGGGGTGCACATGCATCCCCTATGCGTTGCCACTGACCATTAGCTCCCAACATAAACATTTCAGGCATTTGAGTGTTTTTCCTCAAGCTGCTAACTGTTATTTGCTGGCCAAACAAATATGCCTGGACAGAATGGTAAATCAGCAACTCAGAATGTTACTGGATCCATCAAAATGTTACTGGATCAAACAACCCCCTGCAATCAAATTATAAGCGTCTCAGAGGGGACTTCACCAGTAGCTCTGTTCCTAAACTTCATAGATTTTGCTGTTAAGAAGAATCCACCTTATTTAGCTGAGACTTGTTTGTTTCTAACTTAATGTCTTTCCTTCTTATTGCTTACTATCTTAATTCTTTCTCCTTTGTACTGCTCCCCTGTCCTCTCTTGGTCAGTACAAATACCCTGGCTGCTTCTGATGTTCTCAGCAAGACCTGTATTCTAACTAATTTGTTGTAACAACAAATAGTTAGTTTTTGAAACATCTCATGGTCATGAGGTAACCAGCCACAAGTAGGCTTGCTCTGATGTGGTACAACTCAAAGCTGTGTTCATTATTCTGATACACTATCTGGTTGGCTAATATGGGTTCCCCCCCAGTGTTTTTTTTTTTTTTTCTAGTTCTCATTTATTGTCAAGACTACCTTTATTTAACTGTGCTTTCCTGTGCTCAGGCCAATATTGCTGCCACCTGCTGGTATTCTTGTGTCTAAAAGTCTCTCCCCTATAAATAGAAGAAAGCTCTTGTCACTTGAAATGCTCCTCCCCTGGCCTAATTTCCTTCAGTCTACTGCTGAGAGATTTTTGTAAGCACTTGTAAAATGAAATTTCTCATACAACTTGGCTTGCTTGTCACTTCACTTATGGAATCTACAAACTCCCTAAAACCCTTATACAAAGTCTCAAAGTTCCTCCAGAAGGCAGCACTAGGCCTTTACACCAATTCCAGTGACATCTTGTTTGAAACTTTGCAAGGCTTTAGCCTAAATTATAGTCTAGTTGTAAAAGTTAGTGCCTTAAATAAATTCCAGAATCCAGAAACTTTGTGCTAGGGAATCACAAACCTTTTATTTTTTTTTAAAAGGTTATTTTTAATCTAAGCCACTTTATAACATTTCAGGTGGAGAACATGTATGAAATTTGAATATTGGCCCTTAAATGGGCATTTCCAACTTTGTGAGGAATCATCAATACCCTTAATTATGCACATCTTTTTTTAAAGGACAAAATATTTTGCATTAGTGACAGAAGTAAAAATGACTGGCTTTCACACTAGACTAAGAGTTGGTCACTTATAAACTCTAATCCTTGCTCCATTACTGACTCTCAGTAGGATTTAGCCAGTGAATGACACCACCCTCCTCCCCATTAATTTAGAGTTATTTAGTCACAGTACATTAACAGGCTGTCACATTGGGGATTACTAAAAGTCTATATAGGAAAAAGACTCCAATGGTGTTTATCTGCCTTAAAATTTAATAGTTTGAGTGTATACAGCTGTAGACACTAATAGCAGAGTTTACCACAATCTTCAGTTATATGACTTGGTATTACATTTTATGTAATAAATGAGCCGTTAGATGAAATAATTACAACTTTTAAAGGTATTAGAATTTTAAATCTGAGCCTTGGGCAGTTGCTTGTTCCAGTAGGCTGATGTGCCAGTATTCAATCACTCTGCTGCTAATAAAGTTATCAGTGACTTTTAATGAGATATGTCTAATGTAAGCTGCATTTGAGCTCTTAAACTGGGGGAGGGGGTGGGAAATACAGCCCACCAAGGGATTTTATCTGGCTCACAGTGGGTTGGTTCCTCAGCCCTGCCTGTTATGGCCCCAGCTTAATTTACAAGAATATAGGTTAGCGGGGAGGGTGGGGGGTGGTGGCAGATCTAGTAACTGCCACTTCAGTAGAAAGTTAGGGCTTGTTGCACAGGTGGCAACCCTTCTGCTTTGGTCCCATTTTTTTGCTCAAGGGGAAGAGTGGAGACATGGAGGAATACTTGAGATGTTGTGTGAGAACAGTAAGTGCAGTTTGCAGGAAGATTAAAACTATAGCCAGAGCCACTGAAAAATGAACAAGAGTAGCAGTTGGCACCTCTAACTTACAATTGTTATTCTTGCTTTAAATACAGCTTTAGCATATTACAACCACGACAGGACTTGAGGTAAAAACAAATTTAAGTGTTAAAATGAAGTCTTACCTCAGTGTCTCATGTCCAGTCATATCCTCCACACATTTCACCTTCATTTTTTTATTTTTTTCTTAAAGATTCTTAGCTTGCTGTAGCTTAGCTATCAGTCCTCATTGACCTGTCTATGCTTTACCAATACCAATCTTTCTTCAAACAACTTTTCTACTCATTGCATGGTTTATGGTTTTATTATTTTTTTTTCTATTCTTTCCTACTGCTCTGACTTGTGCTTTTTCCCTCAGAAGTGTTTTGGGATACTTTAGACAATGATGTAAAAAAAAAAAAAAAAAAAAAAAAAAAAAGCTGCATTATACAAAGATATGTCCTCTTTAACAGAAATATGATCAGTTCCCTTTCTAAAATGGTACATGATACCACCTTATCCTTCAGATGATAGGTGTAACTTCCCTTACAAGTCTTGAGAGTTTAGAAATATTCTTTTTCCCTACAACTTGCATACAAAGCAATGGGAAACTTAAAAAAAAAAAAGTTGTATGCTTACAGTAGAAGAGTTTCTATAGTGTAATTCCTGACATTTGGTTGTAGTGGTAGATGCTGGAATAATCTTTCTTCATTTCTCACACAGATTTCTTTTGAATTTCGGTCACTCCTACACTCGCAGCTTGCTACACTGTTTTTTGATGAAGTGGTTAAGCAGATGGTAGCTGCCTTTGAAAGAAGATCATCCAAACTCCATGGTCCAGAAACCACTATACCTCAAGAGTTTATGCTTCATGAAGTTCACCACACATAAAAACTACTAGCCCATATACCTTTACTGTAAACTAGTTTTGTAAACTTTATTTATAAGAGAGGTGCTTTTCTCCTTTTGTGGGCATCTGTCAGCTTAGTGTATCATATTACTGTACAAAACATGCACATATGCAGCCTGATGTAAATAGAATATTCAAGCTTCAATCAAGTGCAATATAAGGTGTTAAGTATAAAAACTGAAGGGCAGCTAGTATAACCTAGCCAACCATAATGGCCTTCCTTTTTCTGCCAAGCAGTTTCATTGTACAGATCATAACAAAGCTTTGCTTTCTCTAAACTTTTTTTGCGGTGTTTGTTAATATATTATTCAAGTTTAAGTTATTAGTAGTTAAAGCCTGTACATTTGTAACAATGTATTGGTATCAACCTGAACAAAGTCTGGTAATGTTAAAGGATAGTTCTCTTAGAGAGATCTTGCTCCTTTACTGTCAGTAAGGAATGCACTATTACCTTTTTTCAATATGTAACTGACAATGCTCCAGTGGGAAGGGGAGGTTGAGTCACAGTTACTAATGCAATTGTATATACTGACTACTTATCTGCAGGGCAGGAAGCCATCAGCATTGATCAGAAGTAAAGTTGGTAAGCAAACTCCTTTAAAAATAATGGCAAGTCTAAAAGGCACAAGAATTACAAGGGGAATTTTAAATGCAGCACTTGTAGCCACACTCAGCCTAAACTTTTATCAAACCATCTTGGTTATGAAAAGAAGTGAAGGCCATGCTGCTGTAAGTGCTGTGCATCTGGCAGCTGGAGTTTGAATGCTCTGTGCTGTCCAAATCCTCCACTCCTACCTTCCACAGTTGTAGTTAAATATGGGATGCCCTACATTTGGTGGATAACTATGCATTCAAACATCAAAATCTGTTTTCAGTAAACTCTGCTAAACAGGGTGCACTGGAGCATTAGAACATCAATGAGGGGTAAACACCATTTAATATTTAGAAAGGACATGTAAGAAAGTCTCAGCTGGGAAACACTGGTGTTAGGGTTGGTAAATGTTCCCTCTCTGAAGTGGGGGGGAGAGACTTGAAATGGATTCTTCAGATGTAACAGGAGAGTAATTAAGTTTACAAGCCTTCAATATAATCAACTGAAAAGGCTATATTCCCTTGTCCTTTTGTTACAGTAAATTGCCAGATTTATATTGAAAGCTTGTTTACATTAAGGCAGGTGGTATTTTAAAGCACAGGGGCATTTACTGTGTGGATACAATTAACCAAAGTGTAGTTAAGCCCAGAGGAACTAGGGAATAAAAAGAAATCCCATTTTGGGCACAGAGGTAAAGGGAGCAAGAGGAGGGAAGATCACATTTGCTGCATTAAGATTCTTCCCAAAATACCAGCTAAAAAACAACTCCACTTGAAGCGTTCTTGTTGTTTTTGGTGACACAAAACTGTTGGTCTCCAAGGTACTCATTTACTCAGCACTGGAGGAAGTAGATCTTGGAAAAGAAATTTCTTTTCTTAAAGGAAACTCAGGAAGCATATCCTTTTCACGTCAACTGTTCGTGAAGATTTTTCCCCTACTGCTGCTAAAAGAATCTATCTTGTCTCCATATATGAAACCAAGTAAATACTCCAGGAGTAGAGTAAAAGTTAAAATACATAACTTACTTCTACATTACCATTTGAGTACATTTTTAAAAGTGATGCTAGCTGAGCCTGGATGCAGTTCCTGCCAAAGTCTTATAGGACTACAGCTAGCTGTAAGAATAAGATGCTTCTTATTAGTGAGGGGAAGATTGTTTTGTAAAACACAGCTACCCCAAGTGTTCCAAGCACTGGTGTCAGAGTTCTCTGTTCACTGAGTCATGTTAACTACTATTTGTGTACAGGTGAATAAGGTGATACATTTCATAACTTTGAACAATCTATTTTATTAGATAAAGGTTGTCACATAATTGTATATTTGTCTACTTTGTACACTTTTTTAGTCTTCCACACAATGGCTTTTGAGTTCTCTCTAGTAGTGGCAAGCACCAATAAATTCCAGAACAGAATTACGTGCCTTGATTGGGTTTAAAGCAGAAAATTGTTGGTACATGGATCTCGCACCCAATATCAGGAATGTACAAATGTCTTTATTCAAAAATACAGAATAAATTATCTGTAGGCATGGACAATGACTGTAAACAATTACGTGTGTTTAACTGAAATCCAGTAACTGATGGTTACAGTGATTCTTTTAAAAACACCAGCCTCACTTCAGTCACTATCCATCCTCTTGCACTGACTAAGTTTTCAAACTGTCAGCCTCAACCATCACAGTTCATGATACATGGTTATTCCAGGAATTAGAACATGCCACCTCCCATTCCTCCCCCCATTCCACCCATTCCTCCCATTGCAGTTTCCTTCTCCTCTTTAGGAATTTCTGTAACTACAGCTTCTGCTGTTGATAAAAGGGAAGCAACACCTGCAGCATCCATCAGAGCAGTTCTTACGACCTAAAAATATGAAGGAAAAATTTAATGCCAATTTCCCTAACAATGAAGTATGTCTTAAAGTACTTTGCAATGAACAAAGATACTATTTACCTTTGTTGGGTCAATGATTCCTTTCTCAACCATGTTCACAAAATCGCCAAGCATGGCATCATAACCAATTTCTGGTGAGCTCTGCATGATTTTTTCAACTATCAACGATCCTTCAACACCTGCATTCTTAGCAATAGTCATTGCTGGAATTTTCAGTGTTCTCTTAATGATGTCTATGCCTTAAAAAAATGAAATCAATACTTAGTAGTCTACATCAGACCCACACATTTTACTGCCATCTCAAATTCACCATTTTTCTGGAGTGTTAGGTTTTCAAGATGAATTTAAAAAAAACTCTTAAAAACAATCTCCTGCCTCCCCCAGGAAAATATTAAGATAGTGACCTAACTCCTGGCAACTGAAGCATCATTTTTATTTTCTACAGGATAAGCACTTAACACTCCATGCTCAAACCATGGCATATGTATGACAAATTACAATTCAGAAACTGAAAGCACCCTATCAGCCTTGATTCCTAATGAAACATTCTTTACTTCTAAACATTATTATATTAACAGCGGTTATTTCTTCAATGGTTTTAGAAGTGTAGTGGTATTTACATATGGGGAACTGCTGTTTTAAACAGGTGATTTACTGCACGCTGGTCCACAAAAAATGTTTCTTTACATATTAATAGAAGACTGAATATGTTAAGCAAAAACAGTAATAAGCCTAAAAGAACAAATAGACTTAAAAAAATCACATGTACTGTGATTTTTTTATTTTTTATTTTTTTACAGGTTAGAATACAGCTTAAGAAATGTATTAGTGCATCAAATTGAACCTAATTTATTTTGCTTACCAATTCTTTGATCTTCATTGACTGGAGTTATAGCATCTAGTGCGGGAATGCATCGAAGTAATGCACAGCCACCTCCTGGGACTATGCCTTCCTCTACAGCAGCACGAGTGGCGTTCAGCGCGTCAGTTACCCTGTCTTTTTTCTCGTTCACTTCAACATCACTCGTGCCGCCAACCTAGAGCAAAAAAAATAAAGTTGTATAAAATGCTGCAGATTCCAGAAGTCCTGCAGACCACTTAGCCAACAGATTTCTCCATCTAAATATTAAAAAGCAACCAATCAAAATTTTATTTTAAGATTTATTCAGACAGTACTTTATGTGCATGGTGCCTCCGTTACGTACCGGGCAATTTCTATTTAACCACTTTATACAGCAGTACGCGATGTTCCTAGCCCCTAAACCTTGAGAGCGAGCCCAACTGAGCACCCTAAATAGGGCTATCACAAAGCTAGATAAAGTACACTTCTGGTATATACACACACACATTATGTTACTACATAAAGGGTTTCCCCCCTCCAAGCTCCCTAAAACCCACCTCGGGGATACTTTTAGATGACCCTCAGATTGTGGTAAGTTCAGTGCTTACACTTATTCACTGGTTAGAATCAAGTTTTTTTAAACTTAATGTTCACTTGTATGTGACGAAAGAGGCACCAGTCCTGCACTTAAAAGACTGAGGCATTATGCTAAATTGCAAGCCTTCAAGGAACCAAATATATGACCATCAGCCAAAAAATGCTAATAAAAGTATTAAAGACTACTATCTATTTGGTAAACACCAGAAGAAACATGTTTAATTCCTCACCTTTAGTACTGCTACTCCATCAGAGAGTTTGGCCAGTCGTTCATTCAATTTCTCCTTCTCATATTCACTTGTAGTAACTTCTAGCTGTTCAGTGATTTCTAGAATACGTTTTTCAATTTGAGCCTTTTCTCCCTTTCCTTTCAGGAACATAGAATCATCTTTTGTCACAATGACCTCTCCAACCTTGCCAAAGTCATGAGGCTGAATATCTTCTATATTCAGGTTTAAACCCTCTTCTCCAAATACCTGAAATATTAGATAAGGGGCTTGGAATCCAAGGTCTTCACATAAAGGTACCAACCAAAAATTGCTAACAGCAAATAGTAGAACAATTCCACAATAGAAAATTCACCGTCAGATGCCTGAACTGTTACAGACAAAAATTGGACAGTTTTGAAGAGGGGTATGATTTCAGTAGTACAGGAAACACTTTGTTATCTGGCACCATGGGGAATGCCGGATAACTAAATATGCCCATTACCTGAGAGGCCCGAACAGGTGCCTTTGCCTGTGGGCACTTCCGGTTTTGCTTTTGCCGTGTCAACTGGCATGCCAGTTAATGGAGCATGCATGTTTGTAAGGTGCTGGATAACACAGCTTTTGCTGTACTACAATATTTTAGTAGTACTGAAAGCTTTCATGTTTTTCAAACACCAGGTTTGACAGCTGTTTACAAGGACATATCAGGTATCAAGTAGTTACCATATCTTATCTCAAGCCATTTCCAAAGCTTTTTCTTTTCTTTACATTGGGACAAGGAAACGGAAAAAATTACTTGCCTGCTTGAAGCAGGGGAAAAAACCCTGAACTACCAGCAATGCATTCAAGGCTCACAAATTAAACCCTGCTTGCTGACTCTTTACACTGAGTCTCTTTAGATTTAAGAGAAAAAGAAGCTGGTGCATTCTCACTGTTTAAACTTCAAACTCAAATATCTGGCAATAATTATAATAAGGAAAATAATCTTGAGCTTCTTAGGCTTTATTCACTCAGACATGTTTCTTCTCTGCCACCCAGTTACTACTGATTTCAAGGAAGTCAAGTCAGTTAAAAAAAAAAGAGAAAAAAAAAAAAGAGACCAACACAATTAATTGTGTTGTGAATACCATACAGATAAAAAAAAAAAAAAAAAATATATCAGGCATCAGGTGACATTTAAGGTGTTTGAATATTAAGGGTCTCAAATGTAGCTGCAAAACAATTCAGACAGTAGCAGCAGAACCAGTCTTTCACAGCTCCCTTTCAAATAAAGGCTTCTCATTTGAAGAGCTATAACCCAAGAACAAAGAGGTTACATACCCAACCCATCACTCAGACTACCAAAGAGCACCAAATGTAAGGCAGACACATGGCAATTAAACATCTACCACACCATTCAATGACATTCAACCTGCATCAACTGTGAACCTGTGACTTGGATATGAAAAGTTCATTACTGAATTATCTATCACTTCCATTCACTAAGCTACCAAATAAATGAATGAAAGTAGATGGGGGGGATGGGAAATGGCAACACAAAATTAAAATAGCACTTGGTGAGACCGTTAAATTCATACACATTTTTCCATTCTCACAGAGTGTACTTACAGCGCCACCCGTAGCAATTGCCATATCTTTAAGCTGGTTCTTTCTATTGTCTCCAAAACCTGGTGCTTTTACAGCAACAACCTGAAGGCCAACCTTTAGTCTGGAAAGAGTTAACGCAGAACATCAAGATTCTAATGGTGTTAAACTGTGTATGACCATGTTCTTTGATTAATTAACTGTTTGGGTTTCAGAATCATCTGAGCTGACCACAGACAACAGTTACTGTTCCCCTAGGTATTACTTAGGACACTGGTGCTCAAACCCAGCATATGGGTCAACCCTTGGG